ACAAAAGGCTTAAGCTTAGGGAGAGTGAACTATATATGTAACAAGCTGGGATTATATGACATATATTCTCCAACTTGAGGGGGAGTGTTAGAGCTGGCCGAATAAGAGTAGACTAGTCAACTTGTTTCTGTTAAGTTATGTGCTTATGTGGCAGTCTTAATAGAGACTTCCTGTCCCATACTTAAGTGGGGGCAGTTTAGTCTTTGTACCACTAATTAGAGACTAATCCATATTAAGGGTCGATTGATAGGGTTTAACCTATTAAGTTCGACTGTTCTCTTCATCTTCTTCTTGTTCGGACTACTGTAGCTACAGAAATAACAAGACAAATAAATAAAAAGAGTAGAAAAGAAAAACCAATAGGGGAAATCAAGTTCTATTAGTTTCTCTTAGTGTTTTAGGAGAGTTCAATGCAAAAAGGACCAATCAAGTTCTTAGTTTCTCTTGATATACCAAGTGATCTTTCTTATTATTCTAAATTTAACATCCCAAGTTTGTTTTATTTCTCATTTCTTTTCCTAATGGATTTATTTTCTTTTTAATGAGTTGTTTTTTCGCATAGATCAAATTAACTAAGTTATTTTCTTTCTTCTATACTATTGAATGACCATAAATCTAACATCTAGTTATATGGATGATTGATTCTTCATATGTTTCCTCTTCTAAATTGGTCATTTGAATTATTTGAGAACTTTGCATTTTGAAACATTGTTAGTCGATTTGTTATTATTTTATTTTATGCTTAGCTGCTGAAACTTATTACTTATAAACTTTTATTTTATGGATATTTATACCTTTTATCATTCTAACCTGTTATATTTTATATTATTTTTATCAATTTATAAACTTTAATTAATTTATTCTTAAGCTTTGAGACTTAACCTTGCAACACCTTGAGGCTTACACCTCACCTTTTTGGGTCATTACGCCTCAACTACGTGTTTAGCCTCTTAAAACCGTCATCTAGATAACAAAAAAGATTTATTAAGCATATGAACCAAAATAAGCACTATTTGAACCCCTTTTTTAATAAATGTTGAATTTTATTAACAAAGAAGAGGGAATGAAAAGCATCATAAAAACTTTTTTATCTTTCGAAAGACCATTTCTATGGTACTGAAAAGGTACCATACCTAAAACACTTTAACCAATCAAAACCTCATGTGTAGGGCTATCAATAGACTCCAAAAGTCCAAAACCCAATTCGACATCCAATCCTATTATCCCAGATTTGGATGTTAGAATTTGCATCCAAATAATAATCAGAGCCGAGGAGGATTTGAACCCATCCAATCCAAGTCTAATTATAAGAGAGAGAGAGAGAGAGATTATATACAATTACATAAATCTCATAACTAATACATTTAATATTTTATATTTACATAATTTTTTATATAAGTTAAAAAGTAAATAATTTTTAAGACTTTTTTCTCATTTTAAGCACAATAAGTCAGACTTGGATTTAATCTGAATCCGATCCAAGTCCTACATATCGGATTTCAGATCGGGTTTTGGATCTAACTTTTGGTAAATGGATCATATTCAGATATAGCTGTATCTGATCTGAATCTGGCCCAATTACAGCCCTACTCATGTTAATTTAAATGGAGATACCCTTGGATTGGTTCTGAATTTGTGAAGTGCCATACCTTTTTTATACCATAGCAGCACTCCTTACAAATAACAACTATTTCAGTGACAGTGGGCCAATCGGCTTAAAGCTATTGCATGACATGTAATGTAGCAACTTTCTGTTCAAATACCCACACAACTAAATAATGAGCTCTAACAATATATATATATATATATATATATATATATATATATATATTCTGCACGAAAAAACACTAGAAACCCTTAAAAGTATCATACATTCTAGAGAAAAAAATACCTGCGCAATATATGGATAGGCTTCATCTACAATAGCAAAATCAGGGTTTCCCACTAATGCGATGCCTTCTAGCACCCCAATGGCTCTGATTATTAGTGCAAAATATGGTGGTATTCGGAATGGATAATCAAATGTTATTTGAGCTAAATCTGATGCCAATTCCTGAAAGTTTATATTTTTTGCCCCACCACCTTCAAGTGCTTGATCAAAAACTTTGGCCAGAACTGGCAAGATGGGTTCTAAATTAACACCTTCTGGAATGAAATCAAGCTTAACAAAATCTTTGACTATAGCTTCATAGTCACGATGTATAAGGTGTGCAATTGCTTCAATCATTCCATACTTTTGATCATCAGTTAATTTTGTCACAAGGCCTGCAGTAGTGGTAGTAAGCATTAGAAAATGTTAACCTTAAACACTAGAATATATATATATATCAGTCCAAAAAGTGCCATTTAAAGATGCATGAAATACAACATAAACTAAGTAGAAGAGAGCTCCCTTGCAGTGAATGTGAATACAAAGCAATAACAACCTATGATACCTGGATACCTGTGCATTCCTAGCATACCAGTGTCAAACATGATGCTTACAGCTTACTGGATACTACATGGACACTTCCTGACGTACTTTACTGCATTAACACTTATAAAATATGTAGAATGATTTTTTATTGTTGTTGTATAGCCCCATTTCAAATTGTGCTATTAAAAAACTATACATATCTTGAGAAATGACTTATCAAAAAATAGTCATGAGAAATGACTTATCAAAAAATGGTCACGAGAAATGACATTTAGTATAAGCATATCACATACGTGTACCCATATCCATGTCCAGGATTTTAGGAAATGGTATGTAATGCTCCTATTTCCCATATCCATGTCCGTGTCAATATCCATATCTGGGCATCATAGATGACATCTATATACAAATAAAGTAGCAATGTAATGCACGTATATGACATGAAGGAGATGAAGTATAAAGATCAACAAATAAACCTAAGGCTAATAATAATGTATTTTCTATCTGGGTTATATTGCATTTAATAGATTATAGAAACTGATGATTACCATGAACAAATGATAAAATGGTACTCTGAATCAATAACAGATAACTTCATCAAAACATAATATTGAAACAAAAATACAATAAGCAAGGAGGTAGCTAGCCTCAGATAGCCAACAAAATTACATTAGCCAATCCCCAAGACATTTCAGATTTTTCTGCCCCTAACCTAGCTAGCCCATCAGCCATAGAATTTGCAGTCCTTGGAGTCCAAACGAACCTAACATTTATTTCGGTAGCTTGAATCACCCTATGACCACCTTTTCATCATTCTTCAGCCAACCTATGACCACCTTTGAATCACCCTATACCAATATGTTCCCCAGATTGGATGCTCTAGGCATTTTCAGTCCCTGAAAAATGACATTCACTTTTGCTGTGGTTGAGTCTCCAATGCTTAATGGGCCCAAATATACAGCCAAAATATTGCTTTCAGAACCATAAAAACTCCCCCAATGCCTGAGGGCCCAGGACTACCTTATCATTAGCCAACTCAAAGCATTGATTATCCCTACACTACTTGGAGTTTGCAATCACAAACAGAATGGAAATATTGTCCTTTAAAGGCCTGTCATTACACCATGAATCAAGCCAAAATCTGATCCTGGAGCCACCTCCTAGCTTGTAGACAATGCTTGAAATAAACAGATCCCTTTTGCTAATATCCCACCCGACCAACCAACCAACCATAGGGCTGTGTGAACGTGTTCGAATCCTAACCATTCTCACCTATCCCAAACTTAGTTTCAATTAAAACTCTCCAGATAAATCTTTGAGCATCAAAATGCCACACCCGCTTACATAGAAGGGCCTTGTTGAGGCTAATCATCTTTTTGATACCCAGTCCACCATTAGTCTTGGGTAGACAGACTCACAGACCTGGTCCGGATTTACCAATTGGATCTTATCCTCCCCTTTCCAGCCCTCCCACAGAAAATCTCTCTGAATTTTCTCAAGTCTGTTTGCCACCTTTGCCAGAATTGGGAATTGGGAGAGATAGCAAGAGGAGAGATTGGACAAAGCACTCTGAATTAAAGTAACCTTACTCCCTTATGAAAGATACTTAGCTTTTCACAATGCAAGATTCCTCTCCATATGTTAATGACAGGTTCCCAAACTGTTTCTGACAAGTAGTGTGCTCCAAGAGGAAGCCCTTAATATTGGTTGGGAGGGAAGACATACCACATCCTTGCATTTCAGCCAAGACCTTTATATTGTCTACCACCCCAACTGGAACAATCAATCTCTACTTTAGATTAACCTTCAGACCTGACATAACTAGAAACCATCTAAGTATCCCCAGTACATGCACCATGCATTCACGAGTGACCTCACAAGAGAAGTGGGTATCATCAGAAAACTGCAGAAATTGATTATTGGAGATCCAGGTTCGATTTCGAAGAGACCGGATATAGTCCTAACAAGGGTCCCAACAGCCATTGCAGCTGTACAATTGGAACACCTCACCATGGAGGACAAGGGAGGTGTTCCCAATGCACGGCTACAAAAGCTGTTCTGATCGGCTGTTGGGATCTGATCCGAATTCAATTTCAAAGCCTTCCCAGTATCTGCCATCTGTTGTCATTGCAACTAATTTCCATGACAAATATGAAAAGAGGTGACAGGGGGTCACCCTGCCTTCAAACTGCTAGAGCTTTTGAGAAAATTCATAGGATCCCCATTAACAAAAATAGAGTACTTTGGAGTGGCCCATCTTTGTCTTTTCTATCTTCCACTTATCCTAGTTCAAAGACCTCTTTGGAGAACCCCACTGAACAACCCAGAAACAACTAACATCCTTAAAAGCTCATAGTGATTGAGAACCCATTGCTTGACCTAAATAAAGAAACTGACAATCAATAAGTGTATGTCAGTGCTGTCAATAATGTTAGATGGGAAATCAGCTGGCCTAGTGGAGAAATAATGTGCATAACTAGACATTGAAACCATATCATGAAAAATCAGAAAATATAGCATTTATTTGTGCATACAGAATTCGGACTTGTTCACCAAGTATAGCAAGTCACCCTAACTTTCTTATTTATATCACTCATAAAATCCTGCTATGAAGCCATAAATGCCAAACAATGCTAATGAATAGAAGAGAAGTATCCAGTGAAGTGAATACGACATGACCCTCTATATTGAGACTATTCTGGGAGAGAGATGAATAAGATCATCCAAGTGACCACCCCAATTTGTCAAGTTCCCCTCTAGCTTAACTCATCTATGTATCCACAGTATTAGGCTCTCTGACCCAACAATCATAAGATGATTTTCTTATTCACTACAACTTTTGTCTGAGGGAGAAATTTTCTGTAATTTAATGTATTTATAGAGCTGGCTATAATTCCATGCAGATTTTTATTTTCGGAAACAGCAACTTGTATTAAGGAAATATATGGAAAATATAATATGGCAAGCATCCTAGAGCTAGGGGTAATGCCCAGAGAACAAAAAACAAAATTTTACAAAGTTTCACAAAACAGATGCTCCCTGTTTACCCCTTGTTCGGCCAAAGAATCTGCCAATCCATTTGCTGATCTTCTAACCCATCTGAACCTTACTTCTAAGCCCCTTGCTAAAATTTTCACCTCCCTCATAGCTTGTCTATGGCTCCAAATTCCCAAGTTGCTCAATTGCATCTATCCTACTAGTAATTTGGATTCACCTACCACGATTAAATGGAGATTTATTGTGATATTTTTTTAGAAAAACATAAAGTAAAATTTTATTAATTGAGATTAAATGATACAACAATTAGACAGGGTTGCCAATAAAGCAATCCCAACAGTGAATACATCATTCATCCACAATTTATTACAGAGCTGGACTGGAGACTGCTCAGAAAACTCCTTAGACACAAAACACCAAGAGCCAATTCTACCAATCACTGAGTAAATCATCTCCTCCACAGACCTAGATCTGCTGGTAAACATTCTTATATTTCTTTCTATCCAAATGGTCCAGATGATGACTGCAGGAACTAATTCCAGATTAGCTTTCCTTTTTGGCACTCAAGTCAGGATTATACCAGGCCTTTAGAAGATCCAGAATAAATCCAAGCATTACCCAAAATCAGTTTGGCAGCACCATTAAAGTGCCACCTGTTCTTCTCATTTCTCTATCACACAGTACCTTGTCACTTGGTATCAGAGCACCGTGAGATCAAGGGAATCACCTGCTTCTAGTCGTAACTCACAGACAGACCTGCTGATGTCAGCACACTGCCAGTTGATGTCAGTAGTCTGTACAGTCAGCGGCAGCCCTATGTGTGTTGATGCACATTGATGCGCCTCAATTTTAGAGGAATTTTGGTATATGTTTCATGGTAGGTTGAAGATGTTTGAGAACTTTTTTGGATTTTCCGGAAGAAAATTGGTGAAAAATCCAGATCTGGAGTTTAGGGCTTGTATGCTTGTAAGGTGAGTTGATTGCCTTTAAAACCTCTTGTGTTTGAATCGTGCAAAATTTCTGAGTCTACAGGAAGTGATCCCTGATTTTTTGGAGGCCTAAAATATTTTTGAGAAATTTTTTTCCTTCTCTATTTTGCCGCCAACACCTATTTTTCCTTTGTTTTTTCTTCCACCGCAACCCTTGTTCAACCCTGTAGGAAAGGGTTTTGGGTATCCAGCTGGTGTTGGAATACTGTAGCATTTGAGAAACATATTATAGAAGTATTGTGATCGATGGACTCAGACAAGGATGCTCATGTGCCTACCTATGTCTTTCCAGAAGGTAATGATAAGCTGGGCAGATTACTACTGTAAAACTTGATGGACCAAATTTCCTTGAATGGTCCCAATCAGCTAAACTTACAATTGGTGGGAGAGGTAAGCTTGGGTTTATTGTCGGCAAGGAAGCTAAACCAAAGCCTGAAGATCCAAATCATTCCAAATGGGAGCAAGACAATCTGTGGGTCATGTCATGGTTTGTATGCTCTATGCAGCTACACATCGTCCACAACTATATGTTTCTTTCAACAGCCAAGGATATTTGGGACAGGTTAACTACCACCTATTCTCAAGCTAAAAAGACTACTAGAATCTATTAGTTGTGGAGAGAAGCATGTAATGTGTTAGGGGCAGAGGACGGTGGCTATGTATTTCTCTTCCCTGCAATCAATTTGTGAAGAAATTGATCACTTGGAGGCTTTGGTGTGGAAGGATCCTGTTGATGCTGAACAGTACAAGAAGTACATTGAGAAAAACCAAGTTTTTGATTTCCTTGCTGGACTGAATCCTGACACCTATTCATGACACTTCTAATGTGATGGACAAACTGAGAGGAATCTTACTTCAACTTG